TGAACTCAGGTCCTCCTGACTCCAGGCCTTGTGTTCTATCCACTGCACCACCTAGTTGTCCCCAAGACTAATTGTTTTTTAAACACATATCTGATAATGACATTCCTTTGCTAAAAAAAATCTTCAAGGGTCCCTTCTTACTTGTAGGATAACATATAAACTCCTTTTCTGGATATTCAAAGCCTTCCACAACCTATCTCTACTCTGCCTTTCCAGTTCTATTTCAATGTCCCCTTCCCCACAATCTCAAGTCTATCCAGAATAGATTAATCTCTCCACCTCCTCCTCCCTGAAGTTATCTTTGTTATTGTTATTCCTTATACCTAGAATGTTTTCTGGTTTCCTCTTTACCACTGATCTATCTTTCAAAGCCCATCTCCTCCAGAAAGCCCTCTCTAACATCTCCTGGTTATAATGACATTCCCATTCAGATATCACACACCACTTTGTTTATACCTCTCCAGCGCACGTATCATGTACTGTTGTGCATGTAATCTGTAACTCATCTCGGTTTATGTCTTATCTCCTTACTAGACTATGAACTCCAGGAGGACAGGATCATGTCTTAATTAAATTTTGTATCATCCCCAGCACTTAGTCCAGTTCTCTGCACATGGGAGGTATTTAAAAAAGTGTTTTTGGTGTTATACCTATTATAAAATTCAAGATACCATTATTATTAATCATTGTTATTATCAATAACAATATTTATGATTAATCATTAGACTAATAAATGGAATGACTCCCAGGCCTAGCAGAGATAGGGGAAAGAAAGAATGATGAGCTACTCCCAAATTAAGGTAGGTTGACCCAAGCCAGAATTCCCCATGGGGCCTTTCCTCTAATAACCCAAGAAAGGCCTTTGTACTTTGCCACTTCACCTGGGAGAACAGCTAGGTGGTATAGTAGATAGAGGTCTGGGCCTGTAGTCAGGAGGACCTAAGTTCAAATTCAGTCTCAGACACTTACCAGCTTGTGTGACCCTGGGCAAGTGACTTAACCCTGTTTGTGTCAGTTTCCTTATCTGTAAAATGAGCTGGAGAAGGAAATGGCAAACCATTCCAGTCTCTTTGCCAAGAAAATCCCAAAATTCATGAAGAGTTGAACACAACTGAAACAATTGAACAAGAAAACCTTCACCTAGGGGCTGTTAGTGAATCCTAGCTGACTGGCTGAATGTTCTAACCTCAGTTGACCCAAACCAGAAATCCTCACGGAGCCTTCGTTCTTCTACCTGAGCAAAAGCATGTCTACTTTGTCCCATTACCTGTGGAGTCCTGTTCAATACTAGCTGATTCATCTTAATGTCACAAAACCCTCAGTAGGGATTATTATCCCCGTTATTCAGATGAAGAAACTAAGACTTCAAGAAAGGACTCTTTCTCTTCTGTATGTGCAATGCTTAGTCAGAGAATGAGGACACCTTGGGTTACTTAGACTTTGGAGATTTCTAACAAATATAAGAGTATGACTATGGGTCCAGAGTATGAGAGTGAGAACCTATGGTCTCAAACTCAATCACCCTAGGTCTACCGGCAATAGTAGAGTTGGGGGTGAGGTAAGGGAGGTGGAGGACAGAAAGGAATTACATGCTTTGGGCAAGAAGAAGTGTGCTGTTCCTGAGCAATGACCTCATTATGGCCAGAAGTTTAATGGCTCTCACGCTACTCAATATCTTTCTCACCATAGTATCTCCATGATAAAGGACACTTACATCAATATAGTTGGCATTAATGTAGTCTGAGTGAGGGTCTCCATCCAGCATCAGCAGTCTGACTCTTGAGTGGTCATCTGAAAAGAGAGGGAGAAAGGTGAGGGGAGTTTTAGAAGAATGGACCTTCTGGAGTTAGAGTGAGAGAGGAAGGAAAATCACACATTGCATCTAAGGAACTGGGGTGGGGGGGAATCTTTGCTAGATTGTGGCTAGTCTCTTGTGGGCTTGGGCCCAGCTGTTGAAATTCACTAGCCACGACTTCCCAGGCCAGTCAGTTTTGGTGTCTTTATAGAAGGCCCTATGAAAGGTGAGGCCAAAGAAAGTTTGATTGAACTGCTCTCATATGTTAGGCTATACATGGGCTTCATTTTCATAGGATCAGAGATTTAGAACTGGAAGGGACCCTAAATGCCATTCAATCAGTCTTCCCTTTGCCCATTTTACAGATAAGAAAACTGAGGCTCAGAGAAGTTAAGTGACTTTCCCATGATCACACATATGGTAAGTGTCAGGATTTGAATCCAAGTCTTCCTGGTTTCAAGTCTAGTACGATTCTATACTGCCTCTTTCATGTTCATTTTTTCAAAATGAAATTATTTTTTGTAATTTATGTAATTCTTTTATTTTTCCTGAATGGATCTTGGAGAATTTAAAAAAATACATCATGAGTTATTGTTGTTATCAGTACCAAAACAACCAGGTACAAAGTCATAATAAAAATAAGTCTGCCAGTGACCAAAGACTTCATATCAAAAGTGATCATTTCAACAAAAATCTTGGCATAAAAATAATTGCAAGTCCACTTCTTTCAAATAATACTTAATTGGGGAAAAATATCCCATCCAGTAAAAAGAAGTTGGATAATCCCTTAGATTATAATGGACTGTAGTTACAGCCAAAAACCCAAAGGAGAGGTTGGGGAGGGCTGGTTAGTGCCCAAATTCATTCTATATGAAGTTACTCCCTACTGCAACATTAGCTTTATTTTAAAGCAGTGCTTCTCAAAGTGTGGTCCCAATAGTCCTGGTAATCTACAATACTCATCTATGGTAAAATCCTGTATTAATTACTTTTTGTAATACGATAATGAGAAGTAGCATAATATAGAGGCCAGAAAGCTGGTTTTAGAATCAGTAAGATCTGTGTTTGAATTCTGCCTCTGACACATACTGACTATGGCCCTGTACAATTTATTTAGCTCCACAAAATTCTGGGTAGCCCTAGTCTAAGTCTATATAAAGCTGTATTATTTATATCAGGAAGACTTGGATTCAGATTCTAACCTTGACACTTGCTAGCTCTGTGACTTGGGGCAAATCCCTGAACCTCTCTGTGCTTCAAGGAATTCCTTAGGGCTTATCTACTAAATTAAAGATAAGTCATAATCGCTGGTGTGGGTTCAAGGAGTTCCCTATTATGAATAAATCAAACATCTTTTCCATATTTATGTTTTCATACTATGATAATGTTGGGACTCTGTTCTTAGCCTGATTATCTGATTGATTTGAAGAGTAGGTCAAATGCACATCACCACCTTGGTATTTCATGCAAAGTGGGGTGTATTTGTTTCCCCATCCCTCCTAGCAAAAGTTATTCAGTTAGAGCAACTGAGAGTGAATAAGACCAGGGGATGCTACAAGAGGGTTTGCCCCAATGAGATGGTTCTTAGTTAAAAAAATATTCCAAACTCATTTTACTCATAGCACAGTAGTAGTCTTTGCTGGGACATATTGAGGGAGAATAAAGAAATGTGGACATGTGCACATAATTGCCAAGGGTAAGTTACATCCAATTCATGGTGCGCCCTTTTAGAACCACTGCTTTAAGGAACATAGTTAGATATGGCAAACTGAGATTCCCAGAGTTCCTTCAAATCTGTATCATCTGGGGATGGTGCCAGCCAGAGCAATTTGAATAGTTGGGATAGGGACACAGGCCAAGTATGTTAGGAGGTTCAGAAAAAGACCTAAACCCAAGTTCACACACTTCTAACATAGGTTAGATGGGAGGAAACAGATTGGTGGTGAGAAGCCGTGACACCTGGATTATCAGCTATTGGATGAGAATAAGAACCTCAGAATCCCCCTGCCGACCTTATAACACATCAAGTGCAAATTCCTCTAATAGCAGACCCAAAGAGAGATTGGGAGCTTTCATTAAAGGACAGAATCCAATTTGAAATCCCCACTCTAGGATTTTATAAAGGGAAGGATAGCATTATCTTCATAGTTTATTTATTACTTATGGGAGATGCTCATATTGTTTCTGTCCCTTATTTTTCTAACTTTATATAATTAGGTGGATGAAAAATTATGTTTACACACATACACATGGAGAAAGATAGGGAAGTCGACAACATGGAAGAGTTTATACCAGGCAATTTACAAAGAGTGCCAGAATGCTCATTACACGCTATCTACATTCTGCAAGCTTGAAAAGAAACTAATTTGGTGTCCCTCATTTGATATTCAAGACAAGAAGGGAAGTTAGAGAGGATCATGTGCAAGCAAAAAGCTCCCTAACATTTAGGCAATAGGAAAACAGAATGCATAAACTTGAACATTGCATCGAGAGAATTGCACATCATTGTGAGTTGCACGCAGTAGGCACTTAATAAATGCCTGCTGAGTGAATAGATGAATAAGAACTTCTCTTAGTGGAATCATGATGGCAAAGCCCAGGAAAGGTCTGGTTTATTGCCAGCATATCAATGGGTTGGAATTCTGCCATTGCCGTCTATGGGCTCTGTGACCTTGGGCAAGGCATTTCAACTTGAAGACTGACCTCAATTTCCCTTCTATGAAATAGCTGAGTTGGATTGGGTTATATCAAATGTTCACTCCAGTTTATGATCCTACAAAAGCAACTATGCAACTGCAGGGGAAGGGAAGGCCTGAAGGGTTATTAACAAACCACATCTCTTGGGAGAGGAAGAGTTGCAAGTCATACCTGGAAGAGTAAAAGGGGAATGTGTTTGAGAAGATTATCTCAATGTAGGTGGCACGCTTGGGTATAAGTGGCAGAGCTCCTGGTGAACAGGCTCCTTCCTATGACAAATCTATTCTCTAATAACCATGGTAGATTCTACTATGCTTTTAAGGTTTACAAACCTCTTTTCTCACAACAGTCCTGTTGAAGAAGTAGTACACGTGTTAGACTCATTTTACAAACGAATTGGGGAAATTGAGACTCGAGGAGATTAAGCAACTTTCCCAGGGTTTTACAGCTAGGAAGTGTCAGAGCCAGGAATCAAACCCAGGGCTTCTGACTCTTAATTCCACTGCTTTCCACTGTCAACAATTCCAGTAGCCATTGAATCTATATTCTTTGTAAATGAAATTATTTATAAATGTGACTCCCTGAAAGAGAAAATGAGGGGAGTTGGATTCACTGAGGTTCATTCTCCAAGGTCCCTCCCAGTTTCTCTAAGTCTACAGCTGTCACTCCTAGCCCAGAGAAATTCAGATTACTAAGCTCTTTTACAACATAGCCCATAGGAGTTGAAGTTGCCAGAAGAGGAGGAAAAAGTATGAGAAAAAGTAAGCTCTGTCTGTTCCAGGCAGCCACTAGCAAGATTTACATGATCTGAGGAATAAGGATTAGATACAGACACATGGGATGTAGGAGGATATTGCTGGCAGAATCCAGCTAGAACAGGAGGGAGGAGGAATCAGGATGGGAGATGCCCAAGTCCATGAGTTGCATTGAGGAAAACACTTTGAAAACTAAGGGATGGAGAAATGGGAACTATCTTTCACTGTCATCAAACCCATGCCAGAGGTAAGGGCTTAGAATAGATCATCAATTTACAGACAAGCATAGAGTGGCCAGTTTTTTGGAGAGGATGGAACAAGTGCTCAGACTGTACAAGTAAAAAGAACATTGGACTTGGAGTTAGTACCATTAGTCCCAGCTCAGACACTGACTAGCTGTGTGACTGTTCTGAGCCTCAATTTCCTGATGTATAAAATGGTGAATGTCTCATTTGTAAATTGGGTAGAAAGCTGCATATTGGATCCTGTTGATGTTGCCTGTACAGCATTTTTCAGACCTGTCTCCTTGTCTCCACTCATATTGTTACCAACTTGGTTGAGATTTTTGTCACTTTTCACCTCGGCTATAACAATCACTTCTTATTGGTCTTCCTGCCTCTGGTCTCTCTCTTGTGCAGTCAACTTTCACAAAGTTGTCAAAATAATCTTCTTCAGTAGAGGCCTAACCATGCCACTTCATTGCTCAAAAACTTTCACTGACTCCCTATTGTCCAAAGAATAAAATAGAAATTCCTCCTGCTGGCAATTGATTCTGGTTTACCTTTTGATTATTCCCCTTCATACACAATTTCAGACACCGTAGACTACTAACTCATCCTTGAGCTCAACATATTATCTCCCAACTTTATGTATTCATAGAGTATATATGCCATGCTTAGAATTTTCTTATCTCTGCCTGACCAGAAATCCTTTTTCTTCAATAGTTTAAGTCAATCCAATTAAAAAAATTGTCAAGCATCTTTTATGTGATGGGTACTGCAACTAGGTGCTAAAGATACAAATTAAAGCAAAACACAATCCCTTTCCTCAAGGAGCTTACATTCTACTGAGGAAGTACAAAATAAACAGAGATAAGTAATTGTAAAGAATTTTGTTGCTGCTGTTCAGTCATTTTAGTCATATCTGACTCTCTGTAACCCCCATTTGGGGTTTTCTTGGCAAAGATACTGGAGTGGTTTGCCATTTCTTTCTCCAGCACATTTTGCAGATAAAGAAACTGAGACAAACAGGGCGACATAGCAAGGAAGTTTCTGAAGCCAGATTTGAATTTAGGAAGATGAGTCTTCCTGACTCTAGGTCTGAAACTCTATGGACTGTGCCACCTAACTGTCCATTAAAAAAATTTATGAAATAAATCCAAAGACATTTTACTAATTACTGGGGGAACTGAGAAAGGTCTCTTGCAAGAGATGGTAATTGAGCTGAGATCTGAAGGGATCTTGAGGTTCTAAGAGATGGAAGAGAGGAGGGAAAGGATATTCTAGGCACGTAGAACAGTCTATGAAAAGGCATGGGGGTGAAAG